AAAGAAAGAAAAGAAATCACTCAGGAAACCTAAGAAGCAGCACAATACCTTATTTATTAAACCTTCAAAATTGTGGCACCCATCATAACCAGAGCCTCACTGGGCACAGTGGCCCACACCTGTAGTCCCAGCACTAGGGAGGCTGAGGCAGGAGGATCATACTAGTTTAAGGCCAGCCTGGGCTACAAAGTGAGTTCAAGGCCAGCCTCAACTGCATCGGGAAACCCTGTCTCAAAAAATAAATAAAAAGAATAACCAGAGTCTACAGGAAATAGTGAAGCTTCTGACAACGCCTTGTTTCGGCAAATCCTATACACTGTGCTTTGGAGAAGAAATGCCCCTTGCAGGCCAAAGAGTGGCATCGGATTCCAAGGGGCCATGGACCAGAAGCCCGGGCCCGTGTGCCCGCGCAAGCTGGATGCGGAGCTGAGCCCCAGCAGTAGCGTGGGTCAGCGTCCAGCCCACTGGCGAGCTTCCCCTCTGCACTTGTCCCACCTCTCCAGTGTATGAATCATGACAGGAAAACAGTGATTTCCTGGCGGAATCACATTCCTGACTGCTATTTTGCAACCCTGGAGTTGTTGAAACCGTAACACTGTTAGCAGTTAGGTGGGTTTTGTTTGTTTGTACTGTTTTTGTATCTGGGATCTCAGGGACTAACATAACACAGACACTAGAAACAGATGGGATTATTTTGCAAGTTCTGCATTTTTGCAAAAGTCAGAACACAGAACATTTTCTGAGAGATAAGAACCAGTTCACAGCCAGGGTATGAGAAAGAAAGAAGGCCAGCTTCCAGCACAGGTGGTTTGAACAGATTCTCTTTGATGGCAAAGCAACAATGTTTGAAATCCTAACCAACATTACCTGGAAGCTGCTTTGTTCTTCAGTCCCTATACTGAAGAAGCTCAGGCCTAGGGACAGGAAGAGGGAAGACAGGACGACTTACTCCACAGCAGCCCCCTGCGCTGAGTATCAGCTCTGAGACCAGCACCCACTGGCCATGTCACCAATGGGCAGGGGAAGGAGCAGGCTGGCCCCTCCCTTGGCCCTGTGCTTACCTGCAGAGAGGAAGGCAGCTGGCTTCCTGGAGTCAGGGGAGGCCAGCCAAGCAAGACCTGTCCCGGCAAGCTCCTAAGTGCCACTGCTCTCTCTCCTGCTTCTCCTTGGCTTGTGAGACAAGCTGCCTACACTGATTAGCTTCCGCATGGCTCGGATCAAATACACATTAGCCACAACTTTAAGGAGGCAATGGTTCATCTGGCTTACTGCTGCAGATGGCTCCGTCCACAGTCAGCCAGCTCCAGAGCAGGAACATCAGGGCAGACTGGCACTGGAGAGCAAAGCTGTGCACCTCCTGGCAGCGAGGAAGCCAAGCACAGGAAGACACCAGCCAGTTATGTCGCCCACCCAGAGATGGTGCCCGTGACCTTCCGTCACTTCAGCTAACATCTTAAAGCATATTCAGCTATGGACATCAGTGGTGTGCGTGGTGCCCCATGGTCCAGCATCTGGCCAGGAGCCTCTTAATTGAATCAAGGTGACCACTGAGATTAACTGGCACATGACCCTGCCTAGGTTCCTCCTTATCCTCAATTGCATAGAAGTACAGGGAACATCCTATGCTGGCCCAAGACTCGCTGGCAGCCAGTTTAACAAGTAACAAAGCTGATACTTTGCCTGTCATTCATTCACTGGTCCCAGGAGCATGGAGTTAAATGAGGAAAGGGAAGAAGAGGGAGGGGCCGACCAACCCCTAACACTTACCAGTCTGGACAAGGCCCTGGACCCAGCATAGATTATGCCCACAAACAGCATGGAGGCTGGAAGCCATGTCAGCACATCAGACCTGAAAGAGTGGGAGAAGCCACAATATTTTTGTTACTTTATGCTGAAAAAGACCTAGCTGGAGGGGCTAACGTCTCCCCAAACACTCATTCTAACCACATAGGTTGTCTACATAGCCTTGAGGACCCATTAAGTGAGATGTGAAGTGTTTTTGCTTTTATTTTGTACCAAGGATTGAGCCAACAACTACATCACCAGCCTTTTCTTGAGTAAAGGTCTTCATCCTAGTTTCCTGGGCTCAAATTTGAGATCCTCTTGCCTCAGACCTCAGAGTTAGGAATGGAGGAGGTCTTGCTACAGGTTGAGAGGGAGAACACATCTGATTTTTCTCAAGGGTGGTAACTTTCTTTTTTCTGTTTTGGTTTTTTGAGACAGGTCTTGCTATATAGTTCTGGCCTTGAACTCACTCCGTTGCCCAGACTGGCCTTGAACTTGCAGCCATCCTACCTCAGCCTCCCAACTGCTGGGGTCACAGGCATGTGCCACCAAACCCAGCAAGGGTGATGATTTTAAACAGGGCAGTAACAATTTTTAAAGACTAAATAGAATCACAACAACAACAACAAATTCCACAGAATTAAAGGCACTTTTTTTAAAGAATGAATTTTTAAAAGTTCATGCCTAGGATGGTGGCCATGCCTGTAATCCCAGCACTTGGGAGGCTGAGGCAGGAGGACTGCTGCAAGTTTGAAGCCAACCTGAACTATACAGCAGGGCCACGTCTCAAAAAAAAGGGAGGGAAGGAGGGAAAGAGAGAGAAAGGGAAGGGAAGAAGAACAAAGAGAAGGGGAGTGAAGGAAGGAAAACAGGAAGCAAGGAAAAGGCAGGAAATCCGTGCAAGGGGCAGGGCAAGCCCTCCCCAAGATCGGGCCTGCACCTAGCATTCCAAGTCTCTGGCTCCAGCAAGACCTTCAGCACCTTCCAAGGGCCAGGACTGGTGGAACAGCAGCCTCACTGTCAGCAGGAGCCGCTTGTGACACAGCAGGTTTCTGCTGAATCTTTCCAAGTCGGTCCAGCAGTCACTGGAGGAAGGTGTCACAGACAGTCCCTGCCTGCAGGACCATGCGAAAGCACAGCCATGCGTGGGCTGTTTTTCACTTTCAGCGTAGCATCCAACAAACCCCATGACTATCAAACAGGCTGAAGACTGGACAACTCTACCAGGTGCAGGCTGAAGCAAGTGTCTGCAGTGTGCAGGAAACAGGCCGGGCTACCCCTGAGGGGCGTAGGTGAGGCCTGCTGGGTACATTTTCCACTTAGGGGCTCAGTGGGGTGTGGTGGTATGACCCCATTGCACACACAGGGAAACCCAGGCACACAGACTTGGAGTAATCTGCCTAGGGTTAGAGCAGCTGGAGATGGCCCAGCCAGAATCTGCATCCAGGTCCGGCTGGCTCCCAAGCCCTCGCTCCTCACCCCCTTTGCGCTGGGCCCTCCTGGCATTCACACACCCAAGGGAGACAATGACATGGAAATGGATAAGCTCCAAGCCCAGGAGGCGACGGGCAGCAGACAGGCAGCTGATTACCTGAGGACTACTCCGTGTCACCAACCCTGTAGCAGCGACAGGCACGTGCGGAGTGTGCCCCTGGCCAAAATGCACAGAGCAAGGAAAGGGAGAAGTGCCAGCCCTGGCCCTGGAGCCGAGGGCCACTTCGGCCCACTGCCTCTCCTCTGGGACAAACGCTTCCCCTTGAGATCCTATGGGGGCCGGGAACAAGGCGAGGGCACCAGCAGGAGCAGGGCACACAGCCCAGGCAGAGGGCCCTCAAGGAAGGGGGGGTGCCCCAGCCGCAGGGGCAGCGGGCCTGGCCACAGCAGGGCCGCGTGCAGAACATAAGGTCAGGAGGTCCCAGACACCTACACTAGAGCCCCTCTTAAAATAAACAAAGGCAATCCTGCCAAGCTGCGTTCTCCAGGACACACGAAGTGAGCAGCGGAGGAGAGGAAAACACAGCGAGGGAACATCTTGTGTCTTAATCCCTCTGTCCTCAAACACAAAAAAGTTACTTCTACTGGGAAAACCAACAGGAATCCAGTTGGACCCAAGTGGCTTCTGGGAAACATGGTGGGGTGGCTGTGTGAGCTCCAAACACACAGCAGGGCCTGTGGGCCACAGTGGTCTCACGGAGGCCACAGACTGAGTACCACATGCTCTCCTGTGGGAGAAGGGTTGGTTACAGGGCCCCCAACCTCCTGGCACTCACGGGTGAGAAGCAGCCTTTCTCCAGCACAGCCCCACAGCTGTTACGGAGAATGCGCATCCACTAGAGGCTGAGGCAAGAGGATCACAAGTTCAAGGCTGGCCTGAACAAACTGGCAAGGCTGTGCTTCAAAAGAAAAATGGGAACCGGGCTTAGAGGCACACACTTAAAATCCCAACCTCTGGGCGGGTGAAGCAGGAGATTGGCAAGCCCAAGCCCAACCTGGGCAACTGAGTGACTTAATCAGACCTTGCTTCAAAATTTAAAAAAAAAGAAAAAGGGGTAGAACCTGCTCAGTTGATTTGCGCTGAGACATGGTTTCCATGGCAATGATGCTGACCCGGGGAAGACAGGAGAGGCCAGAGTGGGGACCCACTTTCAGTGCCCCAAGCCTCCACAGCTCAGTTCCACCCTGGAAAAAAGCTCCCCCATCTTCTCCTTATCCAGGGCTCCGGGGAACTTGGGTGCATAGTGTTTCCCTAACTCTGTGATCCCGAAACCTCTTGAAGCATCAAAAATGAGTTAAGAAAAAAAACTTTTACATATTTAATCAGTAGAAGATACATGTATTTGGCAGGAAAAATACCTCACGGAGGTTCCCTTTAAATATCTTCAAAATGTACTCAAGTGTGTTTTCTGTTCATTGATAGATGCTCTGTACAAAGCTATATGACTGCTTTTTTCCTAGCCCCACAGGGCTAGAAATATTTTTTTAAAAATCAGGACTGAGTCAAGTGTATTAGATTGTTAAAAACGATGTCTTTGTTATTAAAATTCACAATTTTCAAAGCTCTCCCAAAAGGTTTTGTTTATGTAGATGTTATTGGTCCATATTTACCCTATTAGGAATTTCAACTGAGAGATTAAAAGAATACTCATGTATTAACTCCATAAGAAAAGAGGGGTAGAGAGGTGGTTTAGTAGTAGTGTGCTCCTAGGGTCGATCTCCAATACTTCAAAAAAGAACAAGAAATAGGAGTCACTGGGAAAAGAGCTGCCCTAGCAGAATGGGCAGGCATGAGAGAAAGAGGGAAATGAGGCATGCATGTGGCTTCAAAGGGCCACAGTTCTCATTCCATTTTTTTTTTTTGGTGGAACCGGGGATTGAATTCAGATCCTTGCGTTTGTCAGTCAAGCGCTTATCCTACTGAGCCATCTCCCTGGCCCCCTTTCTCGTTCCGTTTTGAAGAACACACTTTTCTTTCTGCGAGACAGGCCTTGGTCTCACTTCGTTGTTCAGCTAGGCCCTGAACTCAACTTGTAGCCCAGGCTGACACAGAACTCAGAGACCCCTGTACCTCAGCCTCCCAGGCGCTGGAATTACAGGCATGCGCCACCCTACCTGGCTGAGGAATACACATTTCAACTGAAAAACCACAGGAGACACATGAGGGACAGTTTATGTAAGAAGACCTAGGGAACGCCAGCCAACAATCCAGGCGCAGAGGGAAAGCCTGACCCCAACAAGGGCAAATAATGCACATTTCTCCGGCTGAAGCTAAAATGAACTGACTGCGTCAGCAGAGGAGCCCCTGGCTTTGCCTGACTCACGCAGGCTGCTGTTGGTGTCGGCTGAGGGAGCGTCTCCCTATGCTATTAATACCCTCTCAGACCCACAGGGGGAGAGCTATGTACAGCCTGCTCACCAAAATAAATGTAGACTGCAACAGGACCAAATGTTACAGAACAGAACGAGGACTATGCGTGGACCTTACACCTGACCTCATCAGCCGAAGTGGTGCCTTTAGCAAGTGAGAGATGTTGAGGTGAAACCCAAGGTACAAAAAGCCAGGAGGAGGACAGGCTAGAGCAACGCATGGGTAGGGCTGAGCGGCAATGTAGCGTGCAGGGTCTGGAAATATGCACGTGACCTGTTTTGTGGACACCCAAGCAAAGACATTGAGCTGGCGACTGGGGCTGACTGCGGCCTGCTGGGAATTGCAAACTTCCAATTCCACGCACTGCACTGCGTCCTGCTCTGCACTCCAAGTCCTCTGGCTCTGGGCTAGGAGTCAAGCCCATCTTCTCAGCACCATTTCTCCTTTGTATTCTCCTTTGTATTCACTGCTAATGGCTCAGCATCTGGCGCCTTCTGGGGTTTGGTACCAAAAAGGTAAGCAGGAGGTCTTAAGGGCAAGACCTGCATGAAGGGGACTGGTATCCCTCTAAAGGGACCCCAGAGAGCTCTGCTCTTACTGCCATGCAGTGACACAACCAGAACGCAGGCCACAGCAGGCTCGGAACCTGCAACTGTGGACCCGCGACTTCTGGCATGCTGAGAATAAGCATCTGTGGGGATAAGCCTCTTGGCGGGGTCCCAGTGGCCTGAGATTCTCACCCATCCCACCCAGGGCCTCAGGGGCCAAGGCGCTGGTCACTGAAGCTGAGGCTCTCACTCAAGACAGATCATGTCCTGGACTCACAAAGCTCACACCACGTTAAATCAGGTGACAAGCAGGTGGCTGTGTGGCAAGGGAGAGGGGCCAGCAGGGGCAGAAAGGAACCTGCTGTGGAGGTCCAGCCTCAAGCTCCGCGTGTGCATGCGCGGGGTGTGGGGAGACATGCCGTTGGACTCAGGCTGGCACAGACGACGTCCCACAGCTGGGTTCCACTCTCCTCGGGGCTGTGTGGAGATGAGCCCCTGGTGGAGCTAGCCCTGTAGTGTTTCTTGTCCTCCCTTGAGAAATTTGCAGAGAATCATGTCTTCAGGGAGCAGTGAAATGATCACTCACCACTGTAGAAGCCTCCGCCCACCCAGGGCGAACACACTGACTCAGGGAGGCCTCAGGCCGAGGAA